TCAAACCAAAACCAAACTCATTGCCATCGAGTTGGTCCCGACTCATAGCAACCCCTCCTTGGTTTCTGAGGTGGTATCTCTATGGAAGTAGATTGCCTAATCTTTCGTCTGAGGAGTGGCTGGTGGGTTTGAGCTGCCTGCCAGCCTTCTGGTTAGCAGTCAAATGCCTTAGGCACTATGCTACCAGAGCTCCTTTATTCCTATTAAAAAACCTCAAAAACCAAACTCACTGCCATGCAGTCAAATCTGACTCATAGCGACCCCTCCTTGGATTTCTGAGGCAATATCACTGCAGAAGTAGATTGCTCAACCTTCCTTCTAAGGAGTGGCTGGTGGGTTTGAACCGCCAGCCTTCTGGTTAGCAGTCAAATGCCTTAGGCACTGCACCAGCAGAGCTCCTCTGGGGTCCCATTTCTCTGTGATGCCCTCCTGGAATCACCAGCACTGCCCAGAGCATCGTGAGATGGCCTGTGTGCGCCATCTGAGCAGGACTGTTGTTGGGAACTGTGTTCCTAGCCAAGCCTGGCCACAGATGACCCAACTGAAACTGCGCGCAGTCACAGAGCAAGGGCCTTGACTTCCTCCGCTGTAGGCCAGCTCCACAAAGGCTGATTCTTGTCTGCCGGAGCTGCTGCTGGTTGGATGAATGAATGACAATGTCAGAGTAAGATTCTGCCTCGAGATGGATCGACACAGTGGTAGCAACAACAGGCTCAAACGTGGCAGTGATTGGGAGGATGATGGCACAGGGCAGTGTTTCAGTCGGTTGTCCATAAGGTTGCTACGGTGGTGGGTGCTGAAGGAAGAGGCCTGAGGCCTGGGGGGAGAGGAGGAAGGCAGCAGGTCTCAGTCTCCAGCCCATTCTGACCTCAACCTGATTCCTGACTTCCTCAAGCCTCTCTTTTCCTATAAAATGGGGACAATAATGGGGCCTGCTCATAGACACTGGGTTGGGAGTAATGAGATGGATTGGCATCGTGCAGGTGTCAGCCACTTAGTAAGTGCTCAGCAGACATGAGCTGTTCTTTGCATCATGAGCAGTCTTTCCTGAATTGAACCAGAATCTGCTGCTTCCCTGACCCTTCTGCCTTGTGGCTGCCTCTACAGTAGAGGGTTCTAGAGGCCTTCCCTCTGTAGCCTTTCAGTGTGTGCAGGAAGGACTTCTGCCAGGCTGTCCTTTCTCTTGTCTCAGCCTCTCAAGGGCCAAAGTGTGAGTCCCTGACTAGGACAGGTTTTAAGGCTCGGGCCTGTCCCATTGAGCAGGGTCTGTAGCCAGAGTCCTGGAAAAGGTACTGTCCACACAGAAAACATGGCTCTAGCCCACCGCCAGGCACAGTCATGTTTGCCTTCTAGCTTAAACATGGTGGAGTCCTCTGGAGAACACAATTATTTTATACTTGGTTGAAAATACAGAGTCTGCAAAAATAAAGGGCTAACAAGCCTGCCTTTTCTTTTCTTTTCTTTTTTTTCCTTTTCTCAACCGGCTTGACTATGGATGCTTGAGCAGGAGCTTGGGACTGTTCTTAGCTACTCTGCCTCTGGCTGAATAGCTATACCTGAGCTATACCTGCTCTCTGGCTTCCAGTGTGTTCCCAGCTCTGCTCTACTGCAGACCCTCCTTACGCACCTGGAGGTGCTGGCTGTGCCCTGCGAGCAGCACTGCAGCCCTCAGCTCTCCACTCAGCTCAGGGAGGCGAGCAGCCCTCCTCCCTCCCTGCCTTGTCCTGCCTGAAGTCCCATAGGAACACATCCCATTCTGCTTTGGGGCCCACCAGCAGTGGAGCCTCTTGCCCGTTTCTGGGGGAGGTGATCTAGTCTCCTATGGCTCATTTCTTTATCTTCTTTCTTTTAACCCTTTTTATTGTGGTAAAATATATAAAGTTTATCATATTAACCATTAAAATTAAAAACAATATATTGCTGTTAGGTTAGAGTCAGTTCCAACTCATCGTGACTCATAGTACAATAGATGAGACACTACCAGCCCTGCGTCACCTCCACAGGTGTTGTTGCCATTTTCGAGGCCATCGTTGCAGTCACAGTGTCAATCCACCTCGTTGAAGCTCTTCGACTTTTTCACTATCCCTCTACTTTACCAAGCGTGGTGTCCTTCAGGGACTGGTCCCTCCTGATGACCAAAATATGAGAAACGAATGAAAAAGTATTGAGGTAAAAGACATATAATGTAAAATTTGCCATTTAAACCATTTTAAAGTATACAATTCAGTGGTATTAATTATATTCATAACACTGTGTAACCATCACCATTTATTGCCAGAATGTTTTCATTGCCCCAAACAGAAACTCGGCCCCCATTTAATAATCACTCCTTATCTCCCCACCATCCCCTCATAACCTCTGATCTACTTTCTGTCTCTATGAATTTGCCTATTCTAGATATTTCATGTAAGTGGGATCATACAATAGCTGTCCTTCTGTGTCTGACATATTTTTCCTAAGCTGACTGTTTTCAGTGTTCCTTCATGTCATAGCATGTATCAGGACTTCGTTCCTTTTATTGCTGAGTAATAATGCATCAGGAACTCTGGTGGTGTAGTGCCTAAGGCATTTGACTGCTAACCAGAAGGCTGGTGGTTCAAATCCACCAGCTACTCCTCGGGAGAAAGGTTGGGCAATCCACTTCCATAGTGATACCACCTTGGAATCCCAAGAAAGAGTTGGTATAAGTCAGATCTGACTTGACGGCAATGCACTGTGTTTGTTGTTAATATTGCATCCTATGAATAGACCACATTTTGTTTATCCATTCATGTATTGATGGACCCTTGAGTTGTTTCCAGCTTTTGACTGTTGGGTCATTTCTTAACACAGACTAGTCTGCTGCTACCTTACTGCTCCTTGGAACCAAATTGGTTGAAACCGAGGATCACATGGTATACCAGTCCCTTGGACTAATTGTTTCCATGCATCTTTGGTTTTCTTCATTCTTCTTTGCTCTGGACAAGGAGAGACCCATCGTTGCCTCTAGATGGCCGTTTGCAAGCTTTTAAGATCCCAGTTGCTGCTCGCCAAGTAGGATATGAAACAATATTTTGTGTAGTATGTCATGTCAACTGAGCTTAATGTCCCCTGCGACTGTGGTGCTGACCCCACAGGACAAACTACTTGTTCCCTCTAGTTAGCTGGCTGTGGCCAAGAAGTGACTACTGCCTTGTTCTTGTCATCTCTACTATATACCTAGAAATTCTTACAGAGCATGCAAATACAGTTGTAGAAACATTGTCTGCCAACCCTATACATGGTCATGGGCGCGCTCCCCGCTGCAAAGACATACCTAATCGTTCAGCCTGTCCACTCATCCCTCCACCTGTAGATCAATGTTTGTCTTAATTGACAACGCAGTCCTGTATGTGCAAAAAGTACCTTTCATGCACCTCTCTATGTCTTCCTCTTTCTCAATGCCATTGTTAAAACACTCTTTTTTAAATCACAGAAGTAACACAAACTTTTTCAGAATTGGCAGTACTAGTATATGTTTGTGATAGAGAAAGTATAGAAAACCATAAAGAAGGGAATATGATAATGTGATTGCTGCATATAATCACATGTAAGGAACATTATAAAAAATAATATTGGTATCAAATGAGTATACAGTTTTATATGCTATTCTTTTCACTTACTATATCATGATTTCTTTCCCAGTATTAAGTGGTCTTTGAAAATAGGAGCTTTTGTTTTCATTTTATATCATGAATGGTTGTTTATTTAATATTCCCTATTGTTGAACATTTCGTTGTTTCTGATTTTTCTCTATTAAAAATAATGACCCAATGAGTGTTTTTGTACATAAGTTTTTACCTCTATCTTTGATTATTTTCTTTGAATAGGGTCACATAACTGGGATTACTGGGATGGAGATGGATGTGGATGTTTTAAGGCTCTAGGTGTCTATGAAAGGAGCTCTGGTGGTGCAGCGCCTAAGGCATTAGACTGCTAGCCAGAAGGTTGGTGGTTCAAACCCACCAGCCACTCTGTGGAAGGAAGATGGGGCAATCTACTTCCATGAAGATTTACTACCTTGGAAACCCAATGGGGGTCCCCATGAGTTGGAATCCACTCGATAGGTTTGGTTTTGGTTTGGTTAGGTGTCTACGAAGGCAAAAGACCAAGATGGCCTTTTAGCAGCTCTGATTGATGACCTTCTGGCAGGGCAAAAGAGTGCTCTTTTCACTGGGATGTCATCAGCATCAAGTTTTAGCTCAACTTTTACTTTTATTTTTTAATTTAGAATTGGCTTTTAGAATCTAAGATCTAGTACCTAAATATTTAAATAATCATAGAAACTCAGGGAGAGACAGAGACAGGGCCAGTGCTGGAAAGATGAAGATGGTAGTGAAATTAGAGTCAGACTTCATGGGGTTGAGTGGTCAGTGGGAAAACTTGGCTTTGCTGTCTTCCTTCTGTTGATGTCTTTGCTCCAGAGCTGTGGAGAAGGACTGGCTGTTTCACCCTCTCAGGTGTCTGTTCTGAACCAGGAGCCATTGTCCCCTTCCCCAGGAGCACGTATTCTGACCAGGACAGAGACTGGTGTTTTTGTTTGGTTGTTGCCCTAATATGCTCAAGAGTATTCTGGTGTGTGTTCCAAGTGGCTCCAGGTAAACTTGACAAGAGATAAGGTAGTTGGCTGTGTTCTTGCTGGAGAGGAATTTAAGTAATAAAGGGAAACCAAGCTGAAGGGGAACAGATGTTACTTTGCATTTTGTAATCTGTGTTCTTTGAATTGCTGAATTTCAAAATTTTTTCCTGGAGGAGGTTTGGGGTAGATTTTGGACATAAATGAAATTTACATTTGCTTAATCATTTTAGCTGTTCAGCTGAAACAGGGTGGGCTTTAATGTGGTGCCTGACTTAGCAGGTACCCATGCTGCCTGTGGGCCCCTTACCCAAGGCTGGCTGAGACTTTGGTGGGTGAGAGTCCCCTGGGCTCCCACCTGTGGCATCTCTAGGATAATCTCTACCTTGCCCTCTCATTGCTTCAGGTGATGCCCTTCGAAAGCCCCACCTTCAGAAGTGTGTCACCCTGTACTTGGACGATTTGTTCTTCAACTTGTACCCCTCCCTGGAGAAATTTGAAGAAGAGCTTCTGGAATGCCTCACCAGTGATCGCTTCTGGGAGGTACTGCCTCATATCCTGGGAACTTTTGCAAAATCTGAATAGTGAAGATGTACATGCAGAGCAGGTGGGGATGACAGTTCCTGGCACCTCAGTCCCCTGAGGATGGGCAGTCTGGTCACCGATGTATGGTCCTGTTTGTCCCCCTTTTTGTGGCTGAAAGGGGCACTCTTCTGTGCCTGATTTGCTATTAAAAGTTAGTTATTGTTGTTTACTGCTGTTGAGTCAGACCCAACTCATAGCAACCCCCTCCTTGGGTTTCTGAGGCGGTATCACTATGGAAGTAGATTGTCCAACCTTCCTTCTGAGGAGTGGCTGGTTGGTTTGAAAAGACACCCTTCTGGTTAGCAGTCAAGTGCCTTAGGCACTATGCCACCTGGAATCCCCAGATGGTGTACATGGTTAACTATGCCACCTGGAATCCCCAGATGGTGTACATGGTTAATGTGCTGGCCTGCTAACCACAAGGTTGATAGTTCAGGTCTACCCAGAGGTGTCTTGGAAGAAAGGCCTGGTGATCTACTTCCAGAAAATCAGCCATTCAGAACCTTGTCGAGCATAGTTCAGCTCTGACACATGAGGTGTTGGCATGAGTCAGACTCAGTGCTCAGCCGTCCCTTCTGGAAGCTGAGCCCCTGGAGGTGCCTCCCGTCCACTGTCTTCATTTCTGCTGATGATGAAGACACAGTTCACCTGAGACTGGGTCCTTTATCTGGTCCAGACTGGTCTTCATCTGACACTGATTTTGACATATCTTGAAACAATCCTCAAAGTAAATGAAGTCACTGTGAGTGTAGGGGAATGCATAAAGCAATCCACCTTTACATAGGACATTTTGAGAGGATTTGGCTCATTTCAGGAAGATGACTAGAAATCTGTCATTTCATGCTGTAAAAGCAGTTTTCTGGAAAAATGCTCCCTCTGACGCTATCAGGTTTGGCTGCTGTGTGAGCAGACTCCTGTAGGCAGCAAACACTTCCCTTGGAGGCCTGTGTGAGCTGTGGGTGGCTGCTCCTTCCCACTGCTTGTCAATATGCTGATATGTCCATGGTTCAGAAGTGCCTGGCTGGGCCATTTATGAGAGGAGTCACACATCCACTAGGCAGTGGCCCACAATAAGAACATTGATCTGTTGTGGAAGGTCTCTGGATGTTGCCAACAGTTGTGCTTGACTACTAATGTAAATGTTGGTGGTTTGAACCCACCCAGTGACACTGCTGAAGAAAGCCTGACAGTCTGCTTCCAAAAAGATTGCAGGCAAGAAAATGCTATGGGGTAGTTCTATTTTGCAACACAGGGAATTTCTATGAGTTGGAATTGACTCCATAGCAGTGAGTTTGTCTTTTGTGACCTAGTGGCATGTCTACATGCAGCAGAGTGAGGTGACTACTTCCCGCTGATGCCTTCCCTTCTGAGTGAGCCATGCTATGCTGGTTCTTTCCATCCATTCATCCATCACCGGCTTGCAGTTTGTAAAGCACCCTATTAGGGAATAGGGCTCTTTCCACCTCTAACATAAGGATTTTCTTGGTCTTTCTGGGTAGAAGCTTGTTATTGGCCAAAGGACATTTGAAACACCTTTGTAGATTTGGGGAACTTGGCTTTTTCCAGGCAACAGTCTCCTTCATCTGGAAAAATGATTCTAATAAACCATCATTGATGCTGCTAGAGTGGACTCTGTCCGACTGGTGCTTCCATTTTCAACAGAGGAGGGGACAAAAGTGTGAGGTGTTCTGCTCACTGTTCGCATGTTGCTCTGTGCTGTGAGTGCTAGGTCTTCACCTGCTCCATTGCTGATGGAATGGAGGGAGCTACCCACAGACGGAGAGACAGGGGCAGCTGAGAGTCATCTCAGCTGCCAAGGAAGGGCCACCCCAGGGACAGTGATGGCAGAGCTTGACTGAGGACTCACTTCTCTTTGTCCCTGCCCCCCAGCATAGGGGAGAGACTTCATGTGGGAAGATAGCTGAGAGACCAATGTGGGCAACATCCTGTCATTACTTCAATGTTAGTTTTCTCTCTTATTGAGAAATATACCTGAAGAAACATGCATAAAACATAAATGCACAGTATAATGAATGAGTGAAAAGGGAAGAACACCCTGTAACTGGAACCTCCAGAACCCCTTCTGGTTATACCCACTTCTCTGTTCCCGCTTTCCTGCCCCGACCCTGTCCCCGCTTCGCTTCCATGCTCCACGCTCCCACTCTGCTCCTCTTGCCTGCCCCCGCTTCTCATCCCTGCCCCCCAGGCTTTTACAGTAATCACTTCCTGCTTTGCTTGCTTTACCTTTATGTTTATCCCCAAGCAATGTAGGCTTGCATGGTTTTTACTTTTATTTAAATGAAATTAAACTTTTTTTTCTTTATGTATCTTGTTTCTTTTGCTCAATATTGTGCTTGTGAATTCATTCTTACAGTTACAGTTGACATAGTTCTGGTTTGTTCATTTTCTTGCCTCTCTGGTATTGTACCTTGAGCACGCCACGGATCATTGATCCGTTTGTTTGTTGATGGGCTCCTGGGTGGTTTTCAGTCTTTGGCCGGTACAACCCTGCTGTGAACATTCTTGAACATGTATCCTGGTTGTTACCGAGCAGCATCTAAATGAGTAGTGTTGTAGTTACCTAGTGCAGCCATAGCAAAAAATTACCACAAGTGGTGGCTTTAAGGGAGAAGTGTTTACTTATTTTTTTCCTTTTATTGTGTTTTGGTTGAAAGTTTACATAGCAAATTGATTTTCCATTCAACAGTTTGCCCACATTTTGACTTTTGACATTGATAGCAATCCCTATGGGGTTACAACACTCTTCCCACTTCCTCCCTGTGTTTACTGTTTCCATTCATCCTCTCCTGTCCCTTCCTACCTTCTGAGCTTTATCTCTGGCAAATGCTGCCCTTTTGATCTCATAAGGTTGATTGTTCTCAGAAGTACATACCTTCCTGGAGTTACCATTCACCTTACAGGGCTGTCTATCATTTGGGTGAAAGTTGAGTCATGAAATGAGTTTGGTTCCAGGCCTGAAGGGTGTCTAAGGGCCACAGTCTCCATCCAACCAGCAAGCTTCCATTGTCTCACAGTGCGGAGGCTAGGAGTCCAAATCAGAGCATCAGCTTGAGTAGAGGGTCCTTCTTTTTCCCTTTCAGCTTCTAGTCGCTTCTGGCAATTCTTGGAGTCCTGGGCTTGTACATGCATGGTACCTTCTCCCTATGCATGCTGTGTCTCTTCTGTTCTTTTTGTTAGACATTGCTCAGACGGGATTAGGTTTGGGGTATGCCCTACTCTGGTATGCCCTCATTAATGTAATAAAAGAAAACCCCTATTTCCAAGCAGGGTCATAGTTACAAGTACAGGAGTTAGGACTTAGATAACTTTTTTGGGGACACAATTCAATCCATAACAAGTCAGAAGTAAAAGGGCCTTTCTTGAAAAGTTCTCATGTGTCTGCAGTGAGCTAGTAGGTCAGCTGCGGCCTGGCAGGGTTGGCTGGTCTTGCGCCATGGTGGACAGCTTAGCTCTGCTTCACATATTGTCTTATCTTCCAGCAGCAGGTCAGGGCTCATAGAGGGGAGAGCAAGAGAGGAAGTGCAAACACAAGGACTTTTCTAGCCTCTGCTAGCACCAAGTGTGCTCCTGCCCTGTTGGCCAAAGCAAATAACTCAGGGCCTTGTCCTGAGTCAGAAAGGGACTAGCTCTGAGTAAGAAGGCCCAGGATGCAGCTGCAGAGAGGCTAGGACCTGGAGCACAGACAAGGCAGTCTGCTATGGGGGTATAGGTGAGAAATCCCGGGATATCTTAGCTTGGCAGGAACCCTCTGCAGGTTGCAGGGCAGAGCTAGGTGTGTACTCCACTCCCCGCCATTGCCTATCTCTTCTCTGAGTCTCCGTCTTTGTATCTGGTCCTGGCAGCCAGTGTGTGATATCTATAGTTTTATGTTATACCACTGTCCTTAACTGGTGGCTTTTCTTTTTTTGGGGTGCTGGTGCTTGCTATTTGGTGCTGTCAAGCCACTGCTAACTTGTAGAGGACCTGTGTACAACAGAACGAGATACCGCCTGGTCCTGCACCAATCCTCACAATCGTTGCTGCGTTTGAACCCATCGTGCAGCTACTATAGCAGTTCATCTTATTGAAGGTCTTCCTCTCTTTCACTGACCTCTACTTTTCCAAATATGATGTCCTTCTCTAGAGTCTGGGCCCTCTTGATAAAAGGTCTAAAGTACATGAAAGGAAGTCTCCCCATCCTCTCTTCTAAGGAGCATTCTGGCTGTACTTGTTCGAAGACAGATGTGTTTGTTCTTCTGGCAGTCCATGGTATAGTCAATATTCCTCCCCAATACCACGATTCGAAGACATCATTTTTTCTTTGGTCTTCCTTACTCATTGTCCAGCTTTTGCATACATAGGGGACAATTGAAAATACCATGGCTTGGGTCAGGTGTACCTTTGTCCTCAGAGTGACATCTTTGCTCTTTAACACTCTAAAGAGGTCTTTTGCAGCAGATTTGCTTAGTGCAGTATGTCGTCTGATTTCTTGATTGGGGGAAGGTGCTGCTTTCATTACTTGTGCTCATTAGGTGTCCAGGAGAGGATGTTCTTTGTGAAGTGACAGTCTGTCACGCTCACTCGGAATCTCTGAGATCTCTGTGTTCCCTCAGGAGTCAAGGTGGTCTTTTAAAAACATGAACCAGTCGCTTTTCTTTGCTTAAAACCTCCTGCTGGCTTCTCATTGCCCGTGGATGATCCCTGGATTCTGTGCCATTGAGTTCAAGGCATGCATGATTGAGTTGGGGTCAGTGCCCCTAACCTTGTCCTGACCTCACTCTACAGAGTTCTCTGCACTGCGTCTGTGCTGCTTTGTGTCATGGATAGTCTTTTTGTCCCTACGTGGGAGCCTCTGTGCAGGGGGCTTCCCTCCCTGTATGTTATTCCAACCCAGCCACCCTGGGGAGGCCACCTTGCCTGTCCTGCTGCCAGTAGCAACACTGTTCTCTGTGGGGTGCTCTGCAGTGCCTCATACCCTTCAGTCTCCGGGTGCCATTCCTCCCTGAGGGCATAGGCTATTTCTGTACTGGCTGGTTCTCTCCCTCTGTTGAATGGCTGCTCCCTGAGGACAGGGTTGTTACCTGTTTTGTTTGCCCCCCACACAACATACAGAGAACAGTGTTTGGCACAAACCAGTACCAGTAGCTGTCGAGTTGACTCTGACTCATGGTGACCCCATGTGTGCAGAGTAAAACTGTGCTCCATAGGGTTTTCAGTGGCAGATTTTTTGGAGGTAGATTGCCAAGTCTTTCTTCTGAGGCACCTCTGGTTGTACTTGAACCACCAACCTTTCAGTTAGCAGCCGAGCACATGAACTGTTTGCATCACCTAGACACTCTGTTTGGCACATAGCACACATATTTAATAGTTACTTGTTGTATGATTCAATCAGTTGGTACCCATTCTATTAGTCTATGTAGTTGGCCAATTATTAATTACTTCCTGAAGTGGACTTTTTTCTTTCTTTTTGCTCTCTACCCATTTTTGAAAATGTCATTTCATATGATATGATCGGTATGATATATAAACACAAAGCAGAGAATGGGATTCAGATGGAAACACACATTTTCTCATGGTCCCTGCTGTTTTCTTATTGCTCAGACTGGATTGAGGGTAGAGATGTTTTAAGGGTGTCCTTGTCGAATTTTATACATTCCCATAAAAATCATTTTATTATGCATTTTTACTGTCTTTGTTTTCTTGTTCCTGTCCCACTGGCTGATCCTCCATTTCCCCCATATTATATTTCATTATCCAAAGACTAATAGGCTGAATTTAGGTTTGTTCAGCTTGATTAATGGACAGTGAAGAAAACTTGAAAATTCAAGGATCGTTTTGGAAAGATCACATAATTTAATAAACAATAATAGCCTGGAGGACTTTCCTTGCTCGTTTGTTGGAGTGCCTGTATGTTTTTTTGTGAAGATGAAACACTTTAATATCCGGTGATCACTTTGGGGCAGGTTCCATTTTTATTGGTTTATGACTTACTGTCTAAATATGCTTGCTCTTCCCACCTCCCATCTGCCCCAGGCCTCCAGTCTGAGTACAGGAGGGGGACTGGTATCTTGAAGCTGACAATCTCTGCTTCCAGAAACCTCTTCATTATTGTCCTCCAACCCAGCAGGGAGTGGGCTTCAAGACCCTTTGAGACCTTACCCACTGAGGGGCTGGAGCCCATGTTTGCTAGCTGGCTGCGTCTGAAAATTGTCAGCCCAACCCTGAAAACCTGGAACCAAGAATTGGGCGACTTAGGCATCTAGGGATCTGAGGAGGAACTAATTGCACTGAGAAAATCAGGCTTATGTCATAGACCCCAAAAGTCCTAGAAAATGCACGAAGGCCTCCAGTAGCAATGGAGTGATTTTTCTGTCATTCCATTGGTTGGGCTTGTTTGACCTAGCACCCTCTGATCTGGATATGTCAATAATGTCTCTTACAGTCTCCTCTCTCTTGGGACTCTGCTGGGCCACCCTCTGCTCTACCAGGGGCTCATTCTGGTCCACACGTGCCATTTCAGGGGAGCAGCCCCAGGGATGGCGGCGCCCTGGAGATCCGGGAGCGGCGCCTGTGTGTGGGTGTGCACAACGGATTGGTCTTTGTGCAGAGGCCGCAGGTGGTTGTGCTGGTGCCTGAGATGGAGGTGGCCCTGGCACGCTCGGCCAGCTTCAGCAGAAAGGTTGGCTCCTCCTCCAAGAGCAGGTATTTAAATGGGGCTTGAGAGGTTGGGGGATGCAAGGAGGGGTCAAGACACGGTTAGTGATTGGTCTATGGAGGTATGGAATGACCATGTTGGGTCTTCCCTGTGGTCTTGTTTGTTCCCCTTTGAGTTCACGATTAGGAACATATCTCAGGGTTGTAAGGTTGCAGAGGAAGTCCGATTTATTCTGTGATAGTTATGCTGTTAGCATTTTGGAAACTTCTAGAATGTGGCTGCTGAGAGTCTGTGGAGGCCCGTGTGGAGTCTCTTCCATATGTGTCCTTGTGACTGGTTCCTTGTGTGACAGAGAGCCAGAGTGATGTCTTTTCTATGTAACCCCATGCTCCCAAATCAGATAGTACCCCACATCACATGTTACAGATACCTTCAAGGGGCAGGCATTCCCATCCTCTTTCTCGATGCTGGGCAGGCCAGCCCTGGAAGTAGGGCCCTCTGGTGGAGCAGTGCCTAAGGCATTTGACTGCAAACCAGAAGGTCGGCAGTTCAAACCCATCAGCTGCTCTGCAGAAGGAAGATGAGGCAGTCTACTTCCATAAAGATTTACTGCCTAGAAACCCGATGGGGGTTGCTATGCATCTGAATCGACTTGATGGCAGTGAGCATGGTTTTATTTTGGTTTTCTTTGGTGTACTCCCAGCAGGCTCAGTCATCACTCTGTTTGCCTGTATGCAGACTGGCAGTTTGGAAAAAATGTTGATGGTGACCCTTAAGAAAGCATTGGTTTAGGGAACCCCCTGGAAGTTCTCAGCAGCACTGCATCGGTGGATGTGCTTTGCTGGGGTGCTCCCCTTCATCGGCTTTCATAGAGTGGGATAGTGGAGGGCCAGTGGACTGCTGCTGTTAAGTGTTCCTGCTTCCTGTTTCTGATCCAGCTCTGGAAACCAAGCTTTGGTTTTGAGAAGTCGTCTTCGCCTCCCCGAGATGGTCAGCCACCCGGCATTTGTGATTGTCTTCCAGCTGGAATACGTGTTCAGTGCCCCGACAGGACCAGACGGCATGGTAAGAACCGCCTTTTTGTATTCAGGTTTCGTCTGATGATGAGCCCCGGGCACCCAGGGTGCACATAGCCAGCATGAACATTTCTTCCTGTTAAAAGCACTGTAATTGTTATTAGCAATATAGATAGCAAGTGTGGAATATGATTCTAGAAAATACTTCTTCCTAATGATAGCTTTGTTGTAATCATTTCCCATTTTTATGGTAGTAGTGCATTCTGCTGGCTGATAGTAATAGATAAATAGCCCAATAGGCATCATATATCATAATAGCATTCATTCATAATTATCTAATCGATACATATTTTGAAAAACGAGGCCATTTTAATGTATTTTTCATATGGTATTAAGTGTGGTAAAGCTTGAATATGTACAAGTGGTAATATTTTCTTAAAATGTACTTTATATATGCCTTTGTCATAAGTAAGGTGCCCTTGTGGTACAGTGGTTAAGTCCTCAGCTTTGAACTGAACTGGGCAGTTCAGACCCACCCAGTGGCTCCATGGGAGAAATACCTGGCAATCTGCTTCTGTAAAGATGAGAGCCATTGAAAACCCCTTGAAGCTCATTTCTACTCTAATGGGTGAGATTGCCATGAGTTAGAAGCAACGGCAGTGGTTTTGGTTTTTCAGTTTATTTTTCCTAGAGCCTAGCTCATGGACACATGCACTTTAATGAGCTGTCACTCTCAGTTCTGCTTTTCTCTATTTATTACCAGAAGTTTCAGTGAGAAGCAAGTATGTACAATTGTGCTTGGGTTACCCAGGAAGCTGGGGTACTCGGGTCGGGGTGGGACTTCTCAGAGAAGGATGGCTTCTGGGGCTGGATGGAATCCAGAGGAGGGAATGGGCCTGCAAGGTGCCGTGCAGTGGGGGCAGCTCCCCGTGTGGCCTCAGTGTCAGCAGGGCTGAGGAGGAGCCTGGAGGAGCACTGAGGGCCTGCTGCCCTGTAGGGGGGCTCGGGATCGCTCTGGAACCCTCATTTACATTTAGATAATATCCTGTCAAGAACATTAATTATAATTTACTTGGAATTATGAAGTCTATAGCTGAAACCGATATGTTTTATTGTTGTTTTTTAACTCTTCATCGCAATGCTAATCAGCGGCAGGTGGTTTAGCTATGCGCTGCTGCTCACGGTGCCTTGGGAAGGTGGCTGTGCAATAGTTCATAAATTCTTTTTGATGTGGTGGTTTATCTTAACATGGAATATTGGATTCTGTTTACTGTCATCAAGTATTCTTTCTTCAATATCGTCTAGAAAGAAAATGTCCCCGTGTACAAAATGATCTTCCACGCAGATTACTTGTTTGTGGAACAGTGAGACGTGTTAAGCATTCAGTTGGAGAAGCCTGAATCAAAGCCTCCTTAACATGGACAGAAGCAGCAGCAATGACTGGGCCTGGGAGGGTGCTTGTTCAGCCCCCAGGGAGGCTGTCTGTGTGACAGGGTAACCTGAGAGACAGGGCCTCTCTAGAAGTCAGGGCTGAACCTTCCTGGGGGCAGGGCTCACCTCAGAGTGTTCCTGGTCTCCTTAACAACCATTAACTGGAACCAGACCAGTTGCTGCCAAGTCCACCCCGACTCATGATGACTCCAAATGTGTCATAGTAGAGCTGTGCTCTGTGGAGTTTTCAGTAGCTGATTTTTGGACATAGATCGCCCTGCCTTTCTTCTGAGGAGCCTCTGGATGGACTCAAGCCATCAACTTTTTGGTTCGGAGCCAGTGTATTAACTGTTTACATCACCTTAGAGCGCCTCATAATCCATTTGGGGAATCATTCTTCAATCAGGATGAAGCCTTTTTCATACTTATTCATAGAGCCGGGCTACAGGTTACTTTCTGTCTTTTCTTTCCTTTTTCAAAGCTTTATATGGTATGCAGTTTCAACACATACAGACATAGACTGGATCTTGTAACAAACCTGCAAGGAGCTTCAACAAGTACTGACTTTACCCACAGTCTTTTTTCATCTGTATCCTTACCCACAACTCACTTTGAGGCAGATTTCACACATCATTTCATCTGTAAACATTTTAGCATGTACATTTCTTTCTTTTTTTAAAACACCTCTTTATCATGGAAAATTGCAAACACATTGACAAGTAGAAAGAAGCGTATAATGAACCCCGTGTACCCATCAGCCGGCTTCACAGGTGAACAGCTCATGGCCACGCTTGCTCATCGCTTTCCCTCTCCCCTCCCTTTGCCCCTTCCAGGTTGTTGTAGAGCAAATCCTAGACATCATGTCATTTCGTCTATCAGTATGTCAGTGTGTATCTCTAAAAGATGGGGGCATAAACACATAACTTTAATACTGTTGTTGTGTGCTTTTGAGTTGATTCTGACTCATAGCAATTCCACATAACAGAGTAGAACTACCCCATAGAGCTTTCTAGGCTCTAATCTTGACAGGAGCAGATTGCCTGGTCTTTCTTCTGCTGAGCTGCTGGATGGGTTCGAACAGCTGACCTCTTGGTTAGCGGCTGGGTGCTTAACAATTGCATTACCAGGGCTCCTTTAATACCATTATCACCCCTAAAAAAATTAAATTTCTTAATGTCAGCCAACATCTAGTCAGCCGTGGGTGTACATTTCTCTAGTATTTTACTTACTCAGAAATGGACACATCAAACAAGTGTCATTTTCCCTAAGAATGATTGCTGAAGGGCCTCTGGGTGCATGAGCTGGCTGCCTGCACAGTGCCTCCTGGCTAGATGAGGGTGTCCTGAGGTTGTCTGTGACAGTGTGATTTATTCTCAGGATGGCCTTGCTGAATTTAGCATGGCCTATGTGGCTTTCCTCCTAATGCCTGAAGAACCCAAACAGGCCAGGCTTCTGGCAATGGTTTTCTAGGTTTCGTGCTTCAGACCAGGAGTGAAAAGACTCAATCTCCCGCAGCCCTTTGTAGAACAATTCATCACTAAATGGTGTGTCCAGTTTGGTGAGAGACCATCTAGACCTATGAGAACACTGGCAAAATGTTGTCCCCAGTCTGTGCTCCAGTACCCAAATCTGCATGGATATTTTGGCCCTGAAGATTCTGTAGTCTTAAAAAACTAGCTAGAAAAAAAGTTTTGAGAAGACACATCTTTTTTTTTAAAACATATACACATACACACATACGTATACATAGGAGCTCTGGTGGCATAGTGCCTAAGGCATTTGACTACTAACCAGATGGCTGGTGGTTCAAACCTATCAACCACTCCTCAGAAGGAAGGATGGGCAATCTACTTCCATAGTGATGCTGCCTCGGAAACCCAAGGAGGGGTCGCTATGAGTCAGATCTGACTCGACAGCAGTGAGCATATATATATATCCTACTTCCGTAGTGATACTGCCTCGGAAACCCAAGGAGGGGTCGCTATGAGTCAGATCTGACTCGACAGCAGTGAGCATATATATATATCCTACTTCCGTAGTGATACTGCCTCGGAAACCCAAGGAGGGGTCGCTATGAATCGGGGCCGACTCGACGGCAAATAACAACAACAACAACATATATATAGTTTTGGTTACCTAGTGCTGCTCTGACAGGAATATATACCATAAATGGGATGGCCTTAACAAACAGGAGTTTTATTCTCTTACAGTTCAGGAGGCTAGAAGTCTGAGTTCAAAGTGCCATGCTCTAGGGGCTGGGTGAAAGCCCCTTGACCTTGGGCTTCAGCTCTGCCTCTTGTTCCCAGCCCACTGAAGCTAGAGACATCTCTTCACTCAGGCAGCTACTGGCTGCTGAGGCTAACAAGCCCAAGGTCGACAAATAAAATGGCATAGTCCCGATGTTACCAAACCACATGGCAGGCCATTAATTCAAATTCATTGGAAGTCCCAAGTTTGGCAGAGCATGGCAGGCTTCTGAACAATGACATGGCTACATGCAGGGTCTAAGCATGCCATAAGCTAGAGACCATTCCCCAAGATTTCTCCTTATGTACAGGAAGCAGATCACATCCCTAGGGAGCTATTCAGTTGCTCACAGTAGATTCTACCATGGAGCTGATTACCAGTCTCATCATGGGAAATACTACATCCAGCTGCCCAGCCAGTCAACCAGGCCTAGCCAAGTTGACACCCAACCTTAACTACCACATTTATATATATGTATCTCTCTCTCTCTCTCTATCTATATATATATAGATATATCTCTCTCTCTATCTATATATATATATAGATAGAGAGAGAGAGAGAGTTGAATTTTTGCTTCTTATAGTTAGGCCTAGACATTTGACTGCTAACCAGAAGGCTGGTGGTTCAAATCTACCAGCCACTCCTTGGAAGAAAGACTGGGCAATCTACTTCCATAGTGATACCACCTTGGAAACCCAAGGAGGGGTCCCTATGAGTTGGATCTGACTCAGTGGCAGTGAGTTTGGGTTTTTGGTTTTGGATAGTTAGCCAAAACAACCAAAAAATTTTAATTATAATCTGTCTTTTGATTAGCTGGGAAGAGCTGTAGGAAATACCTCCTTTTCCACAATTTCGAGTATGTGGAGACAGTGCAGCCATGTTAGGTTGCCATGGGGATGCTGTAAGTTATGCAAGTATGGGTGCCATAGTGTTTCCTGATTGAATGGATGCTGGTAGAGCAAACTCCCTAAACATTAAAGAATGGAATAGATGAAGGCAAAGCTACAGGAATACCTGGACCCAGTGTCTTTGGTTGCATTTTTATGTCAGAACAAGTACAAATCTCCCAGAGGTTTGCAGTGGTCAAAACAGTCCTTTGTTTTTTTGTGGGTCATGTGGAATAATAACTCCCTTTCCCAAATCTCTGAGCAGTAAAGATCCAACTAACTTATATTTATAAATGTACTAGTATTCTTCAAACAAAGAATGCTCATTCTATGAGAGTTTGAGTACTTTCCATGAGTGGAGAACCGCTCTGGTGCTTGGGAAGCATCTGTGTTGCCTCTTCTGGACACTGTGTTTGTCCAGAACTGACTCCTTAAATTTCCTACAATGTGGAAATATGGATATCTTGAGATCTTTCAAAGGTGG